AGGGTTTAATCCACTGTGCAATATTGTTTAGTATTATACAGGGTTTAATCCACTGTGCAATATTGTTTAGTATTATATAGGGTTTAATCCACTGTGCAATATTGTTTAGTATTATACAGGGTTTAATCCACTGTGCAATATTGTTTAGTATTATACACGGTTTATTCCACTGTGCAAAATTGTTTAGTATTATACACGGTTTAATCCACTGTGCAATATTGTTTAGTATAATACACTGTTTAATCCACTGTGCAATTTAGTATTTGGATTGGATATATGAAAACATAAAGGAAGGAGAGTGTACAGGTAAATAAAGGTTTAGAAAGGGACTGTATACTTTATTTAAGTGCAGGGCATGTCCTATTTGCAAGGTTGCCCTTCCAAGTATTGTCTATTAAAGACCGAAGATGGTTTTGGTTGAATACCATGAAAAGACATAAATTCGTTTAATTCCTTTCATTTTCTATTTTGCATAAATACGCAAGTTACTTTTTTTGAAAACCATACATTTTTATCTGAACCATTTCTTTTGAGGCAAAACTGTTTAAAGGGTACCATTGTGAATTGGGCGTGCAGATTTTTTAATGAACGATGACTAGAAATTATGGAGATATTATGTACAGTACTTTTAAATCTTTTGATTCTATGATACTGATCTGTTGCTGTATAATAGTCTTAATTCAAAGTGACTCTTGATGTACACATGTAAGGGTACTGTTGTGGATTCGGCATTCAGCTCTTTTCAAATATTTTTATTTTGTTCTTTTATTCTCATCATCCTTGTCGCCGCTTTTATTCCAAGACTTTTTAAAAATTGATTCCAACGATGATAATAATATTGTTTCTAATCAGCGAAATTGTCCACACATTTTCTGAACGGGTTTGACTGCAGATTTTACGCTTTTTGAAGAACTTGCCAATAATTACAATTTAATTTTTAATTTTTTTTAAGAGACCATTCACGATTTTAAAACACAGTTACTGGTTTTTTTAACAAAAGAACATATTTACGAATCACAGACTTTAAACATATAATTGGTTGTCGCTTTTATCCTGAGAAAAAGACTATTCAGTTTATGAATAACAAGAAATAAATAAAGAGAGTGATCAGTTTATGAATAACAAGGAATAAATAAAGAGAGTGATCAGTTTATGAATAACAAGAAATAAATAAAGAGAGTGATCAGTTTATGAATAACAAGGAATAAATAAAGGGACTGTTCAGTTTATGAATAACAAGAAATAAATAAAAGGACTGATCAGTTTATGAATAACAAGGAATAAATAAAGGGACTGTTCAGTTTATGAATAGCAAGTACAAAATAAAGGGATTGATCATATTTTTTCTCTAGGGGATGACCTGGATAAAACTGCAGCGGAAGAGGAAGAAGAACCAGTTTACTCAGAAGAAGAAAAATAAAAATATTTGAAATTTAAAAATTTTATTTAAATTGATGTGATCTATAAGTAAATTCGGTTTTCTTGTTTTACCAAATAAACGGCTAAAATCCATTAAACCCTAATTTGTGTGGCAACCCTAGATCCCAGAAAAGGTTTATTGACGGTCATAATTTAAAAATTTATCTTTCAAACAAATTTCACCGTTAACGTTTATTAAAAATCCACAAACCAAAACAGAAAAATGATTTTAAATGGCAGAGAACAAGAAAAATGGCTGCTGGAAAAAAACAATAGTTAAAATCTATAATTGTCAGTAAAATTTAACGGGGGGCGAAGCCCTAACACAAAAATCAATTTGGAAATATCTGGCACGGGAAGCCAGAGTACATTTGAATTTCCGAGCCGGGTCAACATTTCCGGTCCCAGTTTGTACTGTACCTAGCTCTATTGAAAGGACTTGCCGGTGCAATAAGGTTGACGCAGTCAGACTTTATGCTTCATACAGGTTGCATTTACTTTTACTAAAGATCTATCTATCTATCTAGTAGAGTTTAAGGAAAGCCTAAAGGACATGAGAGCAATGAGTAAATTCAAGTCTACACATTCCTCACAAGTAACAATTTGATAAAAAAAAATGAAAAAAATGAAAACAACTATTAAATTTTTTTTTCATTCGTTAGGGACACAGTGACTGAACAAAATGTAAAGCACTTTTAGTTTTTAGATTTAGTTTAGAGATCTGAACTGTTGATGCACGAACTAGCTTTACTAGAAAATAACAAATATATTAAAGTATTAAAATAACAAGCTCTGTACACTTTTACAGAGAAATTAGGACAAAGACTCATACATAAACATCTCAATAGTGTTTTTTATATGTTGTCCTAACTATGAGGAAATCCGCGAAAATATGAATAAAAATCCGTGAGTTTCTCTTCAGTGTACAAAAACTAAATATATAATTATCGACAAAGTTTCAGTTTAAGAAAAGTGAAATATCGATCTGCTTAATCCAAAGAGAATAGAATTTATATTAGAGTGGAATTTACTAGAAAAAAGTGTAAAACTGCTATTTTGTTGTACTGTTTCCATATTGCAGGTGTACTTCACATATTTATGCTATATAAACTTTTGGGGCCTGGAACATCATTTATAGAAAATCTAAAATTAATATTAAAAGAAAACCAAATTATGAAATAGGCTGGTTTTATAATTGACCAATGATCATTTCACATAGACTCTATGCCTTTCACTTTACAAACGATGATTTTCCGTTATAACTATAAATCAAATGATGTTTTTTATTCACCTAATTCATATTATAAAGTTTATTTAATAGATTTAAAAAATTCGAAATTGAAATGGATAGTCTAGGGAACATACTGTATTAATGTACTCTACTGCATATAATTTGTGAACATTTACATGATTTGTACACTTGGAACTCCCTTTCAGGCTGAAAGGGACTGACAAAATTCATACCGAAGGATCTGCCTAAATTCCACTCTAATATAAATTCTATTCTCTTTGGTTTAATTCTATAATTTTTTTTCCATATTATGTTAGAAAAAAGTGAATAATTCCTGGGTTTATAGGGTAATTAGGTATCTTTTAATCTTGTAAAGTAACATATGTTCAATATCAACATTAAATAAAGAATCTTACAAATAGCTATCATGCTTTAAAAAGAAATTGAAACAAGCATTAAAAAATTTAAAAAATATATATCAAATTTCTTTTGTTTATCAAATTAGTGCTACATCTTTCCTATCTAAATTTGTACGAACTGCTTTCTTTTAAAATGGGCTTTCCTGAAAGCTATGAAATAATAAAATCTAATTGACATGTTGTTTGGCACAGAATAAAAAAATATCCTCATTCCAATACTTTTTGAGTAGTGTTTAACAGATTAAACGAAGGGTGCGATGCGCCCTTCTATAAACAGTGATAGATTATTATTTAAACTATATTTTAAACCTTTTTTCTTACACTGTTTTAAATTTCGACCCTGACAGAAGTTAGATGAAAAAAAAACTGTCCAAAAACGTCTAAAAATGATCCAAAAACGGTCCAAAAACGATCCTAAACCGGTTTAAAAACGATTCAGAAACGAAAGTGAGTTGTTACTTTAGTTCTTGGATAGTTTTTCATTTTGTTAAGGATAAAGATATTGCAAAGTTTATCAAAAGCTAACTTTAACATATCTACAGTTTTGAAATCTTGGAATTTCAAGTTTTTTTTTATTTTTTCTAAACAACTGACAACACTAGCTGTAAAGACGTAGTAAATTAGAAAAGATAAAGAGACTAATTAAATTGTTATATATTTACTGATTTTTATTTATTTTACATAAGAAAGATAAGATTTCTCAGTTGTGTTTTAATATCCCGATCTGATCTAAGAAAAAATATTTAAAAGAGACTGTAGGCGTAGTTTTAAGTGAACCCCCTCCCATTAGTAGAGTTGTGTGTTTGATTCACAAAAATACCCTTTAAAACCTATAGATGCTCCTTTAGAAAATGGACGTTTCCTGATTCTGTAGAAAAACTCTATGTTTGTAAGATGTTTTATATTCAAGGAATATTAACATTTACTTTAAGTTTTTACATTAGAATTAGTTGAAACAGGTGTCATCCATGGAGCGGACTCTTGCCTGGAATAAATGTGTATTTAAGATATGTAATAATATATGTTTACAAATAATTTTTAATGTTTTAACATTGCTTTTTATGTTTAAATTGTGTTAAAATGGTTAAACTTAAGGGATCGAGTAAGAATATTTGGGATTTTTGATGAATATGTGTAACGTCTGCTGTGTGAAGTTCATACTGTACGATAGCGTACACTCCCGTTTACGGGTTACTCTTGAATTTACGCTTACAGTCCCTTTAAGTGGAAAGTGTTCAGAACATGATAAATGTAGAAAATGGATAAAAATCCCAACTTAATTTATAGGGTAGTTGCACATTTTAGATACGTGTTTATAGAAATTTACATAGAAAAATAATATAAAAATGATGTTAAACGTTTTTAATTTACTTAATAAATAAATATGTTATTTTTTTCTTTAGAATATGAAAAAATAATAATGGGAGCAGGAAATAAAAGAAAATTTGATCTTGAAGGTAATGAATGCATAAATGTTATATTTTTTAATGTTCCTAAACGGAGAAAGTGATTTAGAAAAATTGAATTTTCATTTGCTTTAAAATAAAAAAAAACTTTTTAATTTCTAAAAAATGTATTTCCAGGAGGGGAAAGTGTATGTTGTGGAAGCTGTTATTGTACAAAGTAAGATTGAAAATAAGAATTTTACAAATACCCAGAAGCCGAATTTAAAGAATTTTAGCCGAGGCTTAAATTTGAGACGCAGCTCAAATATGGTTGGTTCCACTTAAAATTGTATTCATGATGTTTCAAGATTTAAGCCGGAGCTCAATTGAAACAGGTTTTTGGAGGATTTGAGAGAGACGTGGCTCAAATTCATTAAATTCGGACTCATAACGCCGTAATTTAAGTTGAACTAAAGATAGTTTTTAAAGTTCCCAGCAGCACCCTTGAAAATACTTAAACTTATTTATTTGCCTAGGACGCAAAGATGTTTTTTCTGTTCATTACTGTGGATTCCGATAATGGTAAAAATGCAGTGGAAATAAGTATAGTTTTTGTTTCTTATTTTAACTGCAAACTAGACAAATCAGAAAAGCAAATTTATTCTGTTACATTTTAGAATTTCAAAACATTCTCGTTCTTCTTCATATCTCTTCAATATTTCAATAAGAGGAATTATAATTGAATACATTAAAGATTTCAATTTTATACATAGAAAATGTCGTTTAGGATTTCAGATTTTGTAATATGTACAATATAAAATAAAACTGAATTTCTTTAATAGTTTCTTTAATGTTTTAAATAGTTTTTAATAAAAGACATTATTTTTAACGTAAAACATGTTTTCAAACTGTAAAAAATTTAGAAATAAAGACTGAATGGGCGTCAAAATTAGCCGGAGCAATACAAATCCCAACAGTGTCAAGAGACAATGATGATCTGAGCCTGGAGGTAAAATCTATCTCAAAGGAACCACAATTGATCCACAGCTTTTAATTTAAAATTGAAACTTATGAAACTGCAAAGCTAGTATCTTACATTTGTTTGATCATAGGCCGAATTTTAAGAATTTGAGCCGCGGCTTAAATCCGCCAAAACCCGGTTTGAATTAATCGCTGGCTTAAATCTTGAAAAATTTAATGCAATTTTAAGTGGAACCAACCATATTTAAGCCGCCGCTCAAATTCTTTAAATTCGGCCTCAGAATAAAGTTTTATTGGTATCGTTGTAAATCGAGCACTGCCATCTTTCACTTTGATTTTAATACAAACATTAGACAAAGGAAACCTCAAATAGGGCCAACTTTAACTTCTCAACTTTCAGGAGCTTTCAAATCTCCACCTGTATTTAAAGACGACATTCCCTGATGTATTTTCCTCAAGTTTTGTAGAAGTAACAGCTGTAAATGAGCATAGTCTCCTCCTGTCTGTGTCTGGATCACAAATCACAAGTAAAGTTTTATAATTGAAAAAAATCTACAATGCTGATTAATTGCTCATGGTTTAATCAAATATCAAAGGTTTACACCGTCAGGGAGTGAATTCTATGAATTTCAACTTCTTACCGCCGCACCACTTCAAAAAACTACTGATTCAAATGCTTCCTTAATCTTTAACTCTGAATCAGTGGTTCAAATTTGAACCGGCAGTAGGTAGTTCAGAAACGTATTAAATATAGAGTATAAAGAAAGTGATCAGATCCTTATTTGGTAAATTGGTGGCACTAGTTCGTTAAACTGCTGTTGCTAATTCAACTTCTTCTAGATTACATCTCTGCTCAAGTGAATTCTTACCAAGTCAGTAACAATATCAATAATAATTTTATGCTTATCCTTTTGTTTATTCTCTATAAATAAAAATATGGCAATTTAAGCTTAAAAAGAAAGTTTTATCTATAATCCTATATTATTATACTGTACCAGCCTAGGATGATCATTTCTATGAATTTACAACTCTGCTCACGTGAATTCTTACCAAGTCAGTAACAAAATAAATAATAATTAAATGCTTATCCTTTCTCTATAAATAACAATATGGCAGTTTTGTTAGAAGTGCCTTTGTAAAAAATTTTGTGATCTCTGCACATTAATCCAGCCAGCCTGTGTTTTGTGCATAAAACGTGCTGGGTAGTGGGTAAACTTCGAATGGGGTACACTAGACCAGTGAGTACCAGTAAATACAATACACAATACACAAGACTGGTATTTTTGGGTAAAAAAAACGATTGCACAATACACATGGTGAGATTGGGCATGGCTTGTTATCATCAGTTGTTACAAGAAGTTAAAGTGATCTGAACAGGACCCATTTTTACAACTTAATTTATGCAGAAAACCCGTACCTGCTGGCCGCTCATCTAGATGTAGTACCTGCAGGAGACCTTGACAGATGGGATCATCCACCCTTTCAAGATCAGATCATATCTGAGGTGATGGTTTATGCATAGAGTGTGTCATTAGTTAATCATAATGTCGTCCTTTGTATTTGAGAATGTTTGTATATGTTCCAACCATGTTCATCGCAAGACAAGAATTACACTGTTCAGGAAGGTGTTGAATATGTGTTTGGACGAGGAGCACTAGATGACAAGCATAGTGTTATTGGCATCCTTCAGGCACTAGAAGAAATACTTAAAGGTGATTGATTAATTGATTAAAGTTTTAACCCCCCCCCCTGGCCCCCATACACACATTAATCATTCTCTTAAGGGGATGATTCATTTGGTGAACCGTCTGATTTTGTTGTCTTTAGTTTGTACAACTGGATTAAAATTAAAATGAAATATATTATGGTGCCCTACATTACTCATTCAGAATGTTGACCTGCTCCATTAATAATTCACCAAAAGCCCTGCTTCTTACTGGTTGTATTTTTGATTATCTATTATCTTCTGAAGGAATGCGGACAAAATAATTTTTGTCATCGAAAATTATTTTAGATGGAGGCAGACCCAAGAGAAGTTTTTATATTGGATTTGGACATGATGAAGAGGTAAGTGACTACACCTAAGATAAAATTTTTGGGCTGTTCCGTATTTTTTTGGGGAAAAAAACTTTTTTTTTACAAAATTCCACAGGGAAAATTTCTTTATTGGAAGTTTCCAAATGGTACACAAGGAAAAAAGTTCTTTAGATAATGTCACTTTGGAAAATGCCCTCAGAAAAGTGTTTACTTTTCCAATTCAGCTCTGATCCAATTGTTTTTAAGCTGAAGCCCTCCCCTCTATCTCCTATAGCTACTGCACACCATAAACTGTATACTTAATTAAAATTTTGAAAATTCTTCTTAATTAGTTGTTTTACCTAAGCATAACCCAAAAGGGATTGATACTAAACCACGGATTGCATAAATGTGTAAGTTTACAAATATTTCAAGTTTATCTTACCATTTGTCTATTTTTAGGCAAAGAAAATAGAATATATATTAGAGTGGAATTTACTAGAAAAAAGTGTAAAACGGCCATTTTGTTATACTGTTTCCATACTGCAGGTGTACTTCACATATTTGCGCTATATAACCTATTGGGCCCTGGAACATCATTTCACATAGACTCTATGCCTTTCACTTTACAAGCGATGATTTTCCGTTATAACTATAAATCAAATGATGTTTTTATTCACCTAATTAATTTAATAAAGTTTATTTAATAGATTTTAAAAATTCGAAATTTAAATGGATAGTCTAGGGAACATACTGTATTAATGTACTCTACTGCATATAATTTGTAAATATTTACATGATTTGTACACTTTGAACTCCCTTTCAAGCTGAAAGGGACTGACAAAATTCATACCGAGGGATTTTCTAAATTCCACAATAATATATATTCAATTCTCTTTGTTTTTAGGTTGGCGGGGAACAAGGTGCAGCTAATATAGCTCTGGAGCTTCAGACAATACTTGAGGAGCAGCAGCAAACTTTAGACTTTATCCTAGATGAAGGAATGTATGTGACACAGGTATAGAAATTATCAATGAAATACGGCCAGAGGGTAAGACCCTAGATAAACCAAACTGGCATTGTAGGCTCCATAGTTGGATTGGCAGCCCACACATTAATAAATGTATCAGTAATTTTCAGTTTTATTCTAGTTTCTATAATCTATCATGTGCCCATATGCTATCATGTCATAGTAAGGAACTATCTAAACTGTATTCTATAATATCTGAGGGCCATCTATCTATGTCCACCCTTGCTACCATGTCATGCAACTTTGCAATGGATTATCTAGGAACTTTCTATCTACATCCTCCCATGATATCATGTCAATGGATGAAACTTTATTCTAGAATATCTGGGGGCTATCTATTCATGTCCACCCCTGCTCTAGTGTCATTAGATGCAAATTTTTTCTAAAATATTTTGGGACTTTCTTTCTATATTCCCCCTCAGCAATCATTTCAGCAGTTAAAACTTTATTCCTGATTTTCTAGAAACTATTTATCTATATCCGGCAATGCTATCATGTCATCGGATTAAAATATATTCTTTTTTGAATAGGGGCTGATAGAGGGCGTGAGGTCGGTCTTTAATGAAACGCATAAAGAGTAACTTTCCAGTATATATTTCTTATAACTTTACTAAAGGGTTCGGAATCGTAGTTAATATCAATATCACACAAGTTAGACCGAAAGTACAATGCCTCGTATCAATTCCATCTCATTCCGGTAAATCTTGTGGAACTTGTTTTATGCGGCCAGGCATCGTCTTCCACAGGCTATCTACGCCTTCCTCAGATATTGTGTCACTGGATGAGACTTTAATCTTGATTATCTAGGGACTTGTACCCGGAGTTGATTCACCTGTCATCTATATAGGAGTTGTGGAGAAGGGTTCAGCAACTATTGAACTAAGGTGAAAATAAAAACGTTGAATGTATCTATTCTTGCGATAAGCTAATGTTGCAAACACAAATTTCAAAAACAAAAAAAATATTCAACTCACTTTGCCTTAGAAGACTTTTACATAATAAAGCATGATAATATAAGGAAGTTGAATATCTGTAAATCGAAGGCCCATCAGCCTGAACAATAATTTACAAATTAATCTTTTTAATCTGTTTAAGTGTTGATGGAGTTCAGGGACATTCCAGTATTCCACCCAGGTAAAATAAATTGCAAATACCATAAAGGGATTGTTCACGAATTGGAAAAAAAACAAAAAATACACCATTTTTTTGGAATCAAGATTATAATTTTAATGCTCAAAGACATCAAAGTGTCAAATTAAAGAAAACTTCTGTCACATATTATCATTGTGTTATTGAAACTAAATTAGGATTGTTTACTAGTGTAATGGTGTTTTATACATTAGTGCGGTTAAACATAAAAACTCCAGCTAATCTACAAGGGACCCATAAAATGAAAAGGAAAATCAATGTTTTGATCAGGCAAATATGTTTACAAGAAACTCAAAAATCAACTAATTAAGTGAAAAGGGTTTGTGGCCAAGCTGTACAATCAATGTGTTTCATGTTCATTGGAATTTTTGAAGTCATAACTTTAGACTAATAGTGTTCTTCTTATTCCACAGTTTTATGTGTCCCACTGTATTTTCTCCCGATATCTTATTACATCATAGAATTCTATAAATGGTAAATTATCTCATACAAAAAGTCACAAACACCGGGCGCGCAATCAGTGAAGCAATGTGGACTATCAAAACTCAAATAAATTATTATTCCAGGGAAAGTGCAATTGGAATTCTATCTGCTGGTGTAGCACATCTTGAGCAGAACAGACATCCAGCATATTTTAGTCAAGGTAGGATTTCAAAGGGAATCATTTTATCCTTTTTTCAACATTCAACTACATTTCAGTAACTGGATTTTATCATTTCATAATTTTTTATCTTCTTGAACATTTTGACAAAAATATTTTTAGCGATAACTATTCTTATTAGGACCTGAATATGATACTATGGAATACCTGGCTCCTCATGCATCCTTCCTCTATAAGGTAAATATATTCTTTATAATTTATTATGGGGTGTAAGCTATTTTAGTAAAACAATCCTATAAGTTGATATTAATGGATGTCCTTAAACACAATATAATATTTTTTCACTATTGAAGAATTTTTGGAGGGTACAATTAATTGTAGGTTGATCTTTCCTAATCCAAGGTTATAATGCAAGGACATTTATTTCAGAGGTGTACACATCTTTTATCCTGCAGTGTACTGTCTGTAATGTAAACACAAGACGGATGTCACAGCCTGACATAAAAAATCAATGAAATATTCTGGTCATAAAAAACAATTTTGTGAATTATCAAAATTATCAAAATCCAATGCTTTCCTCGGATACTAAACGAACAATAATGCATCTATTCTTGTTCACAAATTCCGCCCAAACAGAACTGGTTTCAATATGTGCACAGAGTAGACGCAACTACAATTAACTTTCCTTGCATTATAACCTTGGTCCAATTCAACAACTAGGCATGTTCATTTAAATTAATATAGACATATGATATCTATATCTATCTATATACTTTGCTTGTCTGTCTGTCTGTCTGTTTGTTTGAATCCAATAAATGTCAAAATGGCTAAACTGATCGGGCCCAAATTTTTTGTGAGACCTCCCATGACCCCAGGGAAGTTTTATGGATGATCGAATGTTCAAAAATTAAAGTCCACAAAAGTTTTTAATAAAACCAGCATAAAAGAGAAAAGAAAATGTTCACAATTAAAATAGAAGATGGGCGCGAAGTGCCCTAAAAGCCCTAAAATTTAGTAAATCAGTTGTTAACAGGAAGTGATTCTTTTACACATTTATTCAGTTGATTTTCTCAAACCTCTGGCTCCTATCTGGCGCACTCTCATCATTTCTAGCAGGTTATAAATATTTCTAATTATTTTTTAAATGTATACCTGTGTTTTTTTTTTACTTTTAAAGTAAACAATATTTACTTCTTTCCCAAGTGCACCAATATGATAAAGCTAGTAATTGTTTAGAATAAAGCAAACTCTATGCCTTTTAGAAAAAGTATATTGTTCATTGTTCATCAAGATTCCATTCCAAAATCATGCTGGCATAATATAGGACGGATTACTGTACTGATGTATTTACATGAAATATTGAATAATAGATAACAACAGATAGATATTTACAATTATGGATATTAGATACCAATGATTAGCCATAATAATACTCTGACATCAAAAAAACGCAAAGAAGGCATAACATGGCTCGATACTGTGTTCCTAAAACTGTGCCTAGCTGGTGATGCCTTTTTCCTTCCTGTCTTCTTTTTAGCAAAAGACAGAAGTTTACCTGTTCAATTAACATTCACAATTATTGCTTAGTTTTTGTGAAACCATTTTATCTTTGTATATACATAAAAAGACTATGATAGATAATCCCAGCATCTTATCATCAATCTATCAACCAACGTTCTGTGGCGTAGTTTGTAAAACCATTTAACTTTGCATCAAACTACAATCTTAATAATTAATTCTCTTGCAACTATACAAATTACATAACGAACGTGCTTTGTTGTAATCATCGTGCTATAATGTTAAATTAGCTGTACATTAAAGTTTTGATTGGGTTCCAGATTTACTCCAAAAAATTTGGAATATTTCCAAAATATATTTTTCAATTGAAATGAAAAAAAAATTGAAATCAACCACATATTTTGACTTCTGCTTTTTTCAAAGATTATTTGCTCTAGAAACAGCCGTTGAAATAAGACAAGTAAACAAACGTTTCATAAAATTACCTATAACATTATATCTTGAAGGTTCTTGCCTTTTTAGATTATATTTTGTCCCTTGCTGAAGCTCAGGACAAAATCTAAAAAGGCTTGAACCTTCTCAATAAAGAGAAAATTCTGTTCAAAAACTTTATCACACTGCAAACCAAAATAACAGTGTTATAAATAGTTATAAACATAAATAATTTTAACTTTCCGCAATTTACCAACATATTAATTATTTTAGAAGCTTGTCAATTTTAGATTCATGGAAACCTAACCTGTAATATGAAATATAATGTAATAATGTTTTAACATAAAACTTATCGGAAATATAAATATTTAGATCTGAAAGAGGTGTTAACTTCCATATAAATGCCCATAACTATCTACATTATCTTATTCATGGTCTTGCTGTCTTTGCCTTTTGAATTCTACATAAGTAGATGTAATTCTTCAACACACCATAGTTATAAAAAGAAGAGCATAGCATAATAATTCTTCATGATTTAGGTGATTCCACTACGGATGCTTTACAACGCACCACAACAGCTGTAACAATGTTTAACGCTGGGATTAAAGAAAACGTCATGCCAAGCATTGCAAAGGTAAGTATTATTCCATCATTTTGACAATTTCCATATTTTTGGCTTTTTATGCTTGCAATACAAAACCTTCACAGTATGTTAAATGATATAAGAGAGAGAGAAGATTAGGAACATCAATCTTTTTGTTTATCATTGCTGTATCTAAATCAAAATTTTACACAGAAGAATAATTTTTCAATTTCCGAGTTATGCTCTAGAATATTCACAATTTTCCATCATTCATATTGTCTGTCAACTTTCTTACAACTTTTGCCGTTTTCAGAATTGATTATTTTCTTCTAGGCAACAGTAAACCACCGGATCCATCCCACCTCAAACCTAGAAGATGTCCTTGTGCATGATACCAATGTTATTCATGATGCCAGGATAAAGATTAAAGTGCTAGACTACTTCCCGCCACCCAGGAACAGTAAAGACAACATTAAATGTTAAAGTGAAAGCATCAGATCAGCTATCTGTTTAACAGAGTCAACCATGAGAGCACTGTATATTAGATGATAAATGTAAAAGATTCAATCTATTGTGCACTTTATCATTATAACTCACTTCATGGTGAATTTCATAATAAACGATGCTATAAAGGAATCATCGTGCTATAAAGCTGAATTAGCTGTACTACAGCATGCTTGCTATAAAGTTAAATTAGCTGTACTACAGCATGCTTGCTATAAAGTTAAATTAGCTGTACTACAGCATGCTTGCTATAAAGTTTTGATTGTTTCCCAGATTTTCTTTAAAAAATTAGGATATTTCCAAACATTTTTGAAATCAACTTTATACTTTGACTTCTACAAGACAAGTACACAAACATTTCATAAAATTACCTATAACACTATTATTTTGGCACGACATGCTATAAAGTTTTTGGACATAAATTTTCTCAATATCTCGAAGATTCTCACCTTTTAAGATTATATGTTGTCCCTCACTGAAGCTCGGGACAAAATTAAACCTAAAAAGGCTTTAACCTTCTTGATAAAGAGAAAATTTTCTGTCCAAAAAAACTTAATAACACTGCAAACTAAAATAACAGTGTTATAAGTGGTTATTGAAAATTATTAAAAAAATAAACTTTGCAAATATTAAAATTAAAAATTAGATAATAACTTTCAGCACAAAAAAAGTTGCATATTTATTTAATTTGTATTGGGTTAAAAGACTGTACTGTTGGGGTTTACTTTGATTTATGATTTTAAAATCCTAGTTCTGTATTTACTGTTTACTAGAATATCCCCATATTCTGATGATTCTCTTCCTTTCCAGACCATAGCAGGGGCAGCACTACAGGTATATATTAAAAGGACTGTAAGTGCAATTTCAAAATACCTTTCATTTTAGAATGTCCATGCCTTGTTCACAACACTTGTCACTTTAAACATTTATATGACGGGGAAAAGAGAGATTTGATATTTAATCACACATTTCAAGATAACTACTGCTGGAACCAGCTAGTGGTGAATACTGAAACTAATACGTCATGAAATTCCCATAGAGGCTGTTCCTTATCAGCATTACAATCATCAACCAGATGACGTCTCTGATTGTCTTAATTATCTATTTATCAGATAAGAATCTAGCATGAGACATATAACGACCAAGCCATTGTCCCCACAGTATATCTTTAGGGCAGACTTTGTTCTTAAGTTTGTAGAAAAGAAACAGCCTCTGACACTAATATTTTAGGTGTTCCCTGATGGGAATATTACCCCAGGAACTCTGGTGGCAAATAATGACACTAATATTTCAGGTGTTCCCCAATGGGAATATTACACCAGGAACGCTGGTGGTGAATACTTACACTTATATTTCAGGCGTTCCCTGATGGGAATATTACCCCAGGAACTCTGGTGGTGAAAAATGACACTAAAATTTCAGGTGTTCCCTGATGGGAATATTACCCCAGGAACTCTAGTGGCAAATACTGACACTAATATTTCAGGTATTCCCTGATGGGAATATTACCCCAGGAACTCTGGTGGCAAATACTGACACTAAACATTATCTCAACTTTACTGAGAATATTTACAGGTAAGTTTACTCTTTCTTAATGCTTTAGATAAATATGTGGGAAATAATTGGCTTCTCACAGTAAACTCCATTTAGAGCAAGCTTTGCAGTACACATTTAGAGCAAAATTTAAAGTACACATTTAGAGCAAGCTGTATAATACACATTAAGAGCAAGCTGTATAGTACACATTAAGAGCAAGCTGTATAGTACACATTTAGAGCAAGATTTATAGCACACATTTAGAGCAAGCTGTATAATACACATTAAGAGCAAGCTGTATAGTACACATTAAGAGCAAGCTGTATAGTACACATTTAGAGCAAGTTGTAAAGTACACATTTAGAGCTTAAGCTGTATATTACACATTTAGAGCAAGCTTTATAGTACACATTTAGAAGCAAGCTGTAAAGTACACATTTAGAGCAAGTTGTATAGTACACATTTAGAGCAAGCTGTATAGTACACATTTAGAGCAAGCTGTATAGTACACATTTAGAGCTTAAGCTGTAAAGTACACATTTAGAGATAGCTATATAGTACACATGAAAAGCAAGCTGTAAATTACACATTTAGAGGTTAATCTGTATAGTACTCATTCAGAGCAAACTGTATAGTACACATTTAGAGAAATACACATTTAGAGCAAGCTGTATAGTACACATTTAGAGCAAGCTGTATAGTACACATTTAGAGAAAGCTATATAGTACACATTTAGAGCAAGCTGAATAGTACACATTAAGAGCAAGCTGTATAGTACACATTTAGAGCAAGCTGTATAGTACACATTTAGAGCAAGCTGTATAGTACACAATTAGAGCAAACTGTATAGTACACATTTAGAGCAAACTGTATAGTACACATTTAGAGCAAGCTGTATAGTACACATTTAGAGCAAGCTGAATAGTACACATTAAGAGCAAGCTGTATAGTACACATTTAGAGCAAGCTGTATAGTACATATTTAGAGCAAGCTGTACAATACACATTAATAGCAAGCTGTATAGTACACATTTAGAGCAAGCTGTATAGTACACATTTAGAGAAAGCTATATAGTACACATTTAGAGCAAACTGTATAGTAAACATTTAGAGCAAGCTGTATAGTACACATTTAAGATTACATTGGTATTAATTCATGGAAGAAAGCCAATACATACAGAAACTAAAACACATGAGGGCAGTTATACAATATAGAACAATATTATTAATATTTACTAATAACTATTTTTCTATTTTCTCGATTATTGAAAATATTTAACATATGATTTTATTATTTTATACATAAGTTAGTTTATATAGGGTAATAAAAGTTCACATTTATTTAAATTAACTCCCATACTTGGTGAAATTAATGTGTAGACAGAACTATTATAAAAATTTAAGCTCAAATAGTATAAAATGTTTTAAAAATTCAATTTTTTTTTCACGGGCAACGGTGGCCCCTTCAGCTAGTCTATATGATAAAACAAGAAATTCATATATAATATATATGTTACGTATAGCCGGCCAAACGGCTGGACTGATTGGGCTGAAATTTTTTGAAGACACTCATGGGTGGCCGGTGGGTGTTATAAGCTAAAAAATCAATTTTTTTCTTCTTTTCTTCAATTTACTTTTTTTAAATTTTAATTTTATTTTTTCCACGGGCAACGCCGGGCCTTTCAGCTCGTTATTATTATTAGTATTATTATTATTGTTACTACTCTTATTTTTACTACTATTAACCACTCCCTAAATAGTTAAAACAGGTTTAGTCCCTGATTATCATTACTTTAGGTTTACTCCATCTTTTGTGAGAAAGACAGATGTATCTAGGTTTCACGGGTTTAATGAGAGAATATCTGTAGATAACTTTGCTCAGGTGGAAATTAAAAAATATCTTCTTTTAATGTCGTCGACTGTAATACGTAGATAGAGAATTTTTTTAGCATTCATCGGAGCCCTATGAGACGTTTTAATGGTGTATAATTGTTTAGCAAGAGCGTAAATTCAATTTTTTAATCCTGCTGGATTATCCATTTTATACAGTGAAACCCTTAATAACGAATACATTAGAAGAATTTATCAAATGTCGTCTTGACAATTTTTCAATGAGTTTTATACTTTATTTCGTAAATTTCAGTATTTGCGAAAATAAATAAATAGCCATGAATATGCGGGAACAGTTTTAAAGAGTTCCATATAATCATTTAATTAAAAAACTAAATATCTGCAACATTCCATTATCAGAAAGTGANGTGTTTTGGTCTATAATTAAACACTCTTTAAACTTACAGATTTATTTATTTTATACTTTTTTATTCAAAAATAAAACGTGTTTTGGTCTATAATTCAACACTCTTTAAACTTACAGATTTATTTATTTTATACTTTTTTATTCAAAATGTATATGCCAACAAAAAATTATTTCAGAAAAAAGGCTATAAAGTTATTGTATAAGGGGTCAAATTGTGATCAAAAGTCACAGCCTTCTGAAATATTGACAGAACCGTTAAAACCACATGGGTTCTCAAAAAAAATATTTTTTTTTCCAGGTTGTTCAGTTTTATTTCACTTTGATGACAAATGCTGATTTCTTAGGTAATAAATAAAAATTAGATTCTATAGAGGACTGAAAGGAATTATTTTAAAACAAATTTAGCATTTGTTGAGAAATTTTTTCTTTCATAAATGAGGCTTAATTTATAGTGACCCTCCGTGCAAAGATGCCATGCCCTTAAAAACCATTGTTTATCTGATTAATAGATTGGAAGACTTCAACGCGTTTTAGTCAAATAAAACGAGAAAATCTTCTTTGTTTACTTACGTCTAGAACAGTTTATATAAAATATTGTCTCTCTCTTGTTATTAAATATCTCTAGTTGAACCATAAGGAGGAAGGATCAAATAGATTATCAAGCACAATAGGTGGCAACAAAGAAATGGCCCAATTATACACGACGTCACAAGTGTCAAATATATCTAGGAAAACGAAATTTGCTCACATTTAGTTGACATGTTTTCCAAGATTAAATCAAGAGATGTAAAATAAAGAACAAATATAATTGGCCTTATTTCACTGTAAGATAAGCTCTTTATTCTAATGTATCACTATTATTAATAATTTTGTTGGACACAAAAACTGAATTGACACTTGTGACGTCAGAATACAGATGTACTGAGAGTGTACAAATTCTACGTTGCCATCTATTGTACTAGAATCTAGTTGGGAAGGATAAAGGAGATATCTTTCTTTTTCTCTGTGGAAAATTAATCTTTACAATTGTGGGTTGGTTCTCGTGAAGTTTGACTTTCGTATTTATGCTCCGAGACAATAAAGGCAATGTCAGAATTCAACATGGTTTAAGATATGTGTTGTTTAGTGAGAGGTTCACAGGGCACCATTTGTCTTTAAATGGAGGATTACTTCCAATTACGTGTACAGTCTCTTTATTGTTATGAATATATCTAGTTGAACCTAAAGAGGAAGGATCTGGTTTAGATGCTGTTGAGGAACTTGAAGGATCAGCAGAGTTAAAGGTAAAGGTATAATTGAAAAATCAACAAATGTTCCAACATGTTCCAACATGTCATGTTCATGTTTGCTTGTTTCTTAGCTTAACATGAATTAGTAATTAAAAACATTAAAATTAGCATGAATCAATCAATGTTTCAACATGTCATGCACATGTTAACTTGTTTCTTTGCTTTACATGAATTAGTAATTAAAACATTAAAATTAGCATGAACAAATAATAAACATGTTCAATTATCGTTAACTCAACGTATTCATTATACACATGTTTAGTTTTCTTTACAGAACAGCAATTAGTCATTAACATACTGTGAAGTAATCCTGAACATCTAGACATTCAGTTCTTCTAAATATAGCTTTAATTATGTCCGAATATGTTAAGTTTTTCTGAACTTACAGTGTGAATTATATAGTCTTAAATATGATTAGTTAATTATTTATTAACATGTTCAGTTCTTCTCAACCTAGCATGAGTTTGTCATAAGCATGTTAATTTCTTCTCAACTAAGCATGCATAACTAAGTGTGAATAAGTCATGAACAATGAACATGTTCAATTTTTCTTTACTCAAATTATTCATAAACATGCTTGATTCTTTTCTACTTAGTGTGAATTGTCATAAACATGTCCGGTTCTTCTTTCTCAGCACTAGTAGTTATGATTGTTGCAAATTCAGATTTTGTTAACATGGTCATATTTTTTCAGCTTTTGTTAAAATACATTGATTATCGTTTCTTTAAGGCGGAAGAAACAGAAGAGGAAGGAGAAGATGAAAAAGAAGAAACTGGAGAAGAGGAAGAAGATGAAAAAGAAGAAACTGGAGAAGAGGAAGAAGATGAAAAAGAAGAAACTAGAGAAGAGGAAGAAAAACAAGATTCTGAATTTCAAGATTATGATGTTGTGAACAGCGATGTCTAAATTTTCGTTTTAGAAATTTTTTGCTTTTTACTTTCCAAATTTAAATTTAAGCCAAATGAAATATTGCTTTATTCCACATGCATCATTACAAACTACGTTTATCTTTCTTTCCTTCATCTCATTAACCGAACTATTGTGATCCTAAGGTTGCAAGCTATCCCGCTAAAATGAGTGAGAGTTTTGCCAATTTCTTCGTTTACGACCCTGCAGTCTTATAAATCGATGCAACTCTTCATAGTTGCTTGAATCTATGTGGTCCTGGTCGCCTTCATCAAGCATTTTTTTAAGATTTGTGACGAAATAACAAGAACTACCCAGGATGGTTCGATCTCGCTTTACTCATGAAATGCAATTAGTATCTTACCATTGTTACATAAGAATTGAGTCTTGGTTACAAACTCTGGTTTTATAAATCCCTTTATATTCGCACCCAAATGTCGCAGACCTTAAATATTTCACACTATGACATCAGCTAGATCACATAATCTTATTTTGAGACTATATAAGATATAACATCTGCATGTTGCAAGTATAAAAGGAATTAGAAATGTGAGTATGTGGCAAAAACTCGATTCCTTTCTTGAAATGTAAATGGTCCCACCAAAATTTTAATTTAAATTTTTAAAAACTTAACGTAAATGTTGTAGAGGTTTTTCAGCGAACATATTTAATAAAAAAATTTCCTCATTTTCAAACTTAACATAAATGTGCATAAGTGGTTTGTTTATCTGTTATTTTTTTTTTAATACAATATATGTCAAAAAGTCTAAACCTACTAGGCCAAAATCTTTAAAAGTATTTCATACTCCCAAGTGTGCCCGGGAAAGATTAATTGGAAATTTTGACTGAAAAAAAATAGTTTGAAATGTTTGAAATTCCATCTATGAAATCGAAAAAACCGCGAAATGTTCAGACTTACTTAAAGAAAAATGGACGGGTTTAAAGGTATGAAGTAATATGAAAAAGCTTATTTGTTACATACCATACTAACTACTCTCACAATCAATCTACCACAGTCAATAGAAAAACAAAAACTTTAAAAAATTTATTTTAAAATGTTAAGATCTCATTCCATTCAGCGTCTAAGCTCTGAACTAATAATCAAGCTTACAGGAGAGGGTCCAAACAACAATGAGATTATAAAACGAGTATTACAGGAGAGGGTCCAAACAACAATGAGATTATAAAACGAGTATTACAGGAGAGGGTCCAAACAAGGATGAGATTATAAAACGAGTATTACAGGAGAGGGTCCAAACAAGGATGAGATTATAAAACGAGTATTACAGGAGAGGGTCCAAACAAGGATGAGATTATAAAACGAGTATTTTTGTTTGAAACTGTAACTTAATGGGATTATAGGCAGAGTTTTCAACTGACCCCTAATTCAGCCCTTTTTCAGAGAGAAAACAAACGAAAACTCCATCATTTTTGCTTTATATGTGGTTACCATTGTAACTACCATGGTAGGCTACTATATCAATACAATAAAGACGACTTTCGATTTCAATTTTGATATAAATCAAGCTGTGACAACAGCATGGATACACAAAAACATAGAGCTTCTCATTAGTTACTTGTAAACTTGTAATTTAAGAAAAGCTTGTTAACCATCAAAACAAGTAAAAACGACATCTTCATTGTATTGATATAATCGCTTACCACTGTATGTAAATCCGAGGTCACTTGAAAATAGGTCTACAGTGCCATTAATATCTTTTTAATAAGACGGCACGGTAATTTGACAACAAATCAAAAGATATTTAGAATTTATGGCGATTAAACAAGTCCATAAGAATATAAAGTTCACGAGGTTTTTTACAATTTCAAAGTTAAATATCAATTGGAAGACTAGAAATAAGAGTTTATAAATAAGCAAAAAAAAGAATGAACCGACTTTATATTGTTTTTGGCATGAAAAAGTTTTGGCGCAATAAAAATGTTATAAAGGATTTAACGAGTTCGATTACAAATAAATTCTGTTTAACAACAAATTGGCATGATGGAAAGGTTGTGGCTTTAAAACAATTATCAGGTTCTATTTCCCTTGGCAATACAAAGGACAATGCAGCTGATTACAACAAGATCTTTATGCTATTGCATTGGTAATGAACAAAGTTTTAATGCAATTACAAAACCCGATAACAATGACAGCAATACAGAGAAATATAATAAATATTTTCAAGAATAAAGTGGGGGGTGCGATTTTTTAATGCGTTGGGGAAGATAAAAAACGTAAACTTTTTAATAATAAAACCTTAAAAAATATTCTAACATATCTAGCAGCTGGGAACAAAATGGTTTCAAAGAAATCTAGGTTGGGGTGATTTTTAAATTTTTGTTTACGAAACCCGCGTTAATTCGACACTGAGGCCCGATTACCATTGCCAAGGCCATGAACGAGAACGGTTGCGGGACCTTCTCCTGGAAGCTCTCCTTGAAGTGGCGGATTGATCTGGGCAGGCGGCCCATTGGTCCGGACACTTCTTCATTATACAATCATGTGCTGGAGCTAGATCTACGTTGAAGTCAACATAGGAGGCCTGCAGCCAGGGTAAATTTTAGTTATTTGTTTAGATATAAGATTAAGATTAAGATTAAGATTAAAGAGAGTGACCAGCTATGTAAGGTAATTGAACTGAGTATCCACCCTCAAAGTAGGAGTTTTGAACGTCGAATTTGTGCTCAAACTCAGGATTTACAGATCTTTAAAAAGTTTAATATGTCTTAAATGAATCCGATAGAAGTTTTCCACAACACTGCATACTCAGTTCAACTACCTTACATAATAATTCAATTATATATGCAACAGGGCTGAAAACTTTTAAATTGGTTACCCTTAATCCAGAGCTGTAAACTTTAGAATGGAATATCCTTAATCCTGATCGGTTAATTAATCTGGAGATTAATAACAAGAGAACAAGCATTTTTTAATCTGGAGATTAAGAAAAAGAGGAGATCAAGTATTTATCTGGATATCCACCATTCAAAAGTTTCAAGCTCTTATCGCTTAGTAAGAATACCCACTGTGGAAACTTTTAATTTTCTTTTTATTTAAATTTTGTTCACGAGTCTTTAAATTCATTTCGGATAGTTAACTTTAATGAAATTTGAATCATTCCATCAAGAGAAAAAATTAATGGAAAGTCAAAAAAACTAAATTGTCTTTTGATTCAATAAATTACCTTAATTAGCCCCCCCCCCTCCCTCTCTAAAATAATCTGATAAATGAAATGTATTAAACTTTAAGTATTCCCCCCTTGAGATCGCATACATCTGTAGCATTGCAGTCAAATTGAACTGTGTCCTGAAAAGAGAATACATGGTTACCCACAAAGGTTAAGACTCGACCTGAATCTCATAAAATATGAAAATCACTTAGACTTCTGCCTTGAAATAGTCTTCTTATGGATTATTTAACGATTTTACAGAGAATATATCAAGATTAAAGTTGCAGGGAATCATGAATAAAAGGAAACACCCGTTTCTGAAGTCTAATCCCTGTACGTTTACTTTTTGTCAGTTATAAGAATGGATATTGTTTATCATTAAAAAAAAAAATTTAATGGTATAAAATTTATTACTCTCTTGGAGTTTATGCTATCTGATGGTGTAAACCTTTGCTATTTTAAACATTGGCTGTTAGGCTAGCAGAATTCATGGATTGAAATAGCAAAGGTCTGTGACACTAGATTGCAGAGATATAAGAATTAGAAAATTCGATTTAGATGTGATTTGCCTTATTCCTTTTATTGCTGAAAATTAAATAATTCATTTTGGGAAATAATTATAAAAAACGTAATCTTACAGATTACATCAAACTTGAAATTTTGATTTTAAAATAGGGTCAAACAGAAATTAAAAAACATTAAATTTCGCATCAATCTTCTAATTGAAGTTTAAATAACAAGTTTCATGTTGTTTTTTTATTTGTTTTTGTTTTTAAACAAAGCCTTGATCTCATATTACTTCTTGATTTATGAACGAGAATTGAACTTTGCATTTCTATGGGCCTTCAAACTTTATTTTCAATATGAAGTTTCTATTTTTAAAGGCAATTGTGGGTATTCTCAAAAAAATTACGAAATTTTTCACCACAGACAAGCAAACAATACCCATAATTTATCCTTTATCCCTTCAGACTTTGTTTAATTAGCTAGATAGGATTTTAATTGGATTGTACACATGTCCCTCTTTAAATGGAGGTTTACTTGAAAAAAAAAACGACAGTTTCCTTAGTTTGATTTTACTAGATAAGTTTTAAGTACTTGATGGACAGATTGTTTGACTGGTATCAATTATAAAAAAACATCTGGTCTGAATCCCAGTTTCGATATTACATCATGTGTTTTAAAATTAAGCTTTCCAAACTAAATATATCCCACAACAAGATAACCCTTCATGAAATATTAAAATTAATACTTATGTGCATATTATCAAAAATATTTAGATTTTGGCAAACCACGAATAACTCCTTAGATACTCGTTTAAAGAAGTACCGTGAGGAGTAATATCAAAGGGACTGAAAGCCTAATTTCAAGTGACCCTCAAAACAAAGAATGCATTGCCTGATTCACAACGGTACCCTTTAAAACTTTGTATAAACCAGATTTCAGTATTCATAATTTTAGAAACTGATTGTGCATTTCTACGACTAGAAAAATATTGTAATTACCAGAATTAAATTTAAAACCTCAGGATAGCTACATCATTTTCCGCATTATTTATTAGATTACGGTTTCAAGGGTACCGTTGTGAATCATACATCGTCATCTTTGAATTAAGTGTCATGTGAAAAAAGCATGTATGATAATATATCCCTTTAAGAATAGATTTTTAGATAGTTTTTATACCTTACAACCTTCTCCTTTAATCCATCTGGCAGTGGCCCACTTACATATACACCAGGTGGGTTCATTAGTAGGACATCTTGGTTGGTCACCATATGGGCCTCCATAGTAACCTAGAGAAGGATATATTATATCAGGTGGGTTCATTAGTAGGACATCTTGGTTGGTCACCATAGGGGCCTCCATAGTAACCTAGAGAGAGATATATTATATCAGGTGGGTTCATTAGTAGGACATCTTGGTTGGTCTCCATATGGGCCTCCATAGTAACCTAGATAAAATTTTGCACTGTGTGAGTTTGTTATAAGCCAGACATCTTGGTTGGACACCATAGAGGCCTCCGTAGTAACCTAGATAAAATGTTGCACTATGTGAGTTTGTTAAAAGCCAGACATCTTGGTTGGTCACCAATCACCATAGGTGATTCTATAACCTTAAGAAGACGACTTAATTAAATGTAATCACGTCATTTGAGGATAACCCTGTATATGGGGGGGTAGGGTACCTTAAAGAGAGGGGGAGAGGGGTGGGGGTGATTTATCAAGAAAATAAATACCCCTAAACCTAAAGTAATTACCGATGGTGTTACACCAAGATGTTTGTCCAGTGAACTCCCAGAAGGATGTTCCTTCAATTCCAATCTTAGCGCACACTCGGTGTGTAGAATCATGGTTGCATCTCCTAGAGTAAATCAGATTTAAAAATTATTCTGAAAATGTGCAACAACAAAAAGAACTTAACTTCCCAGTATAAAACATTATTACAATTATAACCATACAACTCTGGCATACAAAAAAGACTTTTTAACTCAAGTTAAAGGTAAAGTACATGAAATACACCAATTTTTCAGTTTTTAAACAAACCAACTTCACTTATTATGTGAATTAATACGTTATATAAAAAGTATTTGCTTTGTAACAACATGAAATATTTTTTCTATGTCGTCTTTCAATTTCAAATTTTTGGTTCTCCTTATAACATATATTTCAGTTTTTAACTTCACAGTTTTATTAAATAAAGAATTATTATTAACATATATGTATATAAATATATATTTTAGTTTTTTAAATTCACATTTTATATATATACATTCTTAAAATAAGTTCATAACATTTTTTATTGTTTATTTTATTTTATACTAGATTGTGTATATAATATATAATCGTTTTGATTAAAAGAAAACCAATTTTAAAATAGGATTATTATATTTTACATTAAATTATTTGATAAAGTTTGTTAATGCCAGAAATAATATGAAACCCAACTGAAACACATAATTTAATATACATCATATACATCACGGGGNGGTAAAAATTTCCCTGTCAGGGTTAAAAATTAAATATTTGACAATATTTGATTTCCTAGAATAGAATAGAATATCACAAGCAGTCCCTTTCCAGTTTTCTATCTAAAGCTATGGAATACAACTAGCATTTCATTTAAAATGTTCTATCTAATCCTTTTCAAAATCGTGAACAATCACTTGAACATATATTGCTTACCTATCTCCTCTGGTATCTCCTGGGCAAGGACTGACACCCAAACTGATCGCGATAGATGAGCAAAATATTAGAAAACTTTTCATTTTTTTTTCCCTGAAATTTTTACAGACAAATGTATATCTATGTATATATATATATAAAAAGTCGTAATCTCTGTTTTTATGTCACTCTATTTGTTTGTGCGATCATAACTCAGAAACCAATTGACAGATTTGCCTCAAATTTTTATTGCTTGATTTTATCATACTAAGTTAAATGAATCAACATGCAAAGGGAAAATTTAGTTTCCCGAATCCCGATATAATCCGACCAAGTGCAGGTAAACGGCGGGTTTATATCATGAGTAACCTGGGCAACGCTGGTTTTATATCTAATTTAACATTTTACTTAACAGTTGAAAGTTTCTCAAAATAAGTATAAAATATAAATTACGTTTCTATAGTTATTAATAAGAGAAAAGTTTTGCTTGTAGGACTTGTATATGTTAAGTGGCACTCCGGTGAAAGATGGCAATGCCGAATTCACAACATTACCCAAATAATACTGATCAAGTACATGAATAAGGTACCAATGTTGATAGTTTTGAAGAACTGATTAATTTCAATAATGATTTCTCTCCAAAAGGGAATGACAAGAACACAGATAATTATAGTTAGGGTTAGGATAGGACAATTTCTTGGCAGAGCGCTGCGGCTAGGTCAGGCCAGGGGGCCGAGCGCTGAGACTAAGACAGGCTAGAGGGCCGAGCGCTGCGGCTAGGTCAGGCTAGGGGGCCGAGCGCTGCGGAGAACATGACCAATTATAACCATGTGTTACATATGAGATACATAGGAAATAACCCCCTTAACACTGTACATTCAACCTAAAGATATCATTAAAGAAATCAAAAAAAAATGAAAAAAAGCTTTATTTATTATTGACGTTCAAAAAAATATGATTAAAACATAAAATAAGTTCACCCTGTAGTAAATATTATAATTAAAACATACCATAAGTTCACCCAGTAGTAAATATTATAATTAAAACATACCATAAGTTCACCCTGTAGTAAATATTATAATAAAACATATCATAAGTTCACCCTGTAGTAAATATTATAATAAAACATACCATAAGTTCACCCTGTAGTTTAAATATTAAAATTAAAACAAACCGTAAGTTCACCCTGTAGTAAATATCATAATCAAAACACCATAAGTTAACCTGTAGTTTAAATATTATAAATAAAACATACGATAAGTTCACCCTGTAGTAAATATTATAGGAATACGTGTATATAGACTTGAGAGTGTGTAACTAATCGAGGCGGAGGCAGTCTATGTTGGATTTGGTAGTCTGATGTTTTCTAACTAAATAAATTTTGTAATGATAAGTCAGCTGTTTCACCGGTATATAAACAAACAGTTTCATAACTTACACTTGCGCAATTCGTTATAAAAGTCGTCTTTTCCGAAGACGACATTTATACTTTATTTTGTAACCCTGAATTTTACAACTTTTATATACAGGGTGTCCCACGAAACATGACATTTAATAAATAGCTATTTTTAGTTAAACAAATCTTTTGCTTAATTATATTTTACGACTCCCATATAATATTTTTATTGATCTTTGGTATCACACAACTTAACAAATTATGGAAAAAGACATTTTAAACTATTCACCAANTGTTTGATAAATTAGCATTATATTTCTTAAATAACAACTCTTGAAAAATCAAAAAATATTTTTAAATTAAAAAATGCATTTTAATGCCGTTGAGGTTTCATGAATATGTTGACACTTAGAAAATTATGTGGTATGAAATTAACAACATATATATACATCCCACGAAACATGACAGTTGGTGAATAGTTTAGAATGTCTTTTTCCAGAATTTGTTCAGTTGTTTGATACCAAAGATCAATAAAAATATTATATGGGAGTCATGTTATATTAAACTTGATAACAAAGTAAAAGTTAATGAAGCAAAAGATTTTTTGACTAAAAATAACGATTTATTAAATGTCATGTTTCGTGGGACACCCTGTATATTTTTAGATTTGTAAAATAAAAAGTTAAAAATGTAAATGGGTTTACGTCCTATTTACTTTAGTTAGATGTGATCTGGCATTATATAAAAATGCAAAAATTTGCCATTATGAAAAAATATGGTAAAACTCAATGTTTGTAATGAAAAATATTACAATAAGATAAAAATTTGAGTTGGATTATTAATGTCTTGCATTCTGATGTACCCATAGTACATCCCACCAATCCTTCTCTGTTTCAAGCCTACAATTATAATAATAATAATAATAATAATATTACTCTAATTTCTCTCTTGTAGTTGCATTAACAGGAAAATAATGATTATCTGCAAAACCCTAAAAAAAACATTTAATTCATAATGTATGTTTTTATACTTTGAGATGTTGGTGAAATAATATATATTTTTAACAAAAATTTGAATTAAAGCATTTTTTAATCACTTTTTTTCAAGTTTTTTTTCTCTTTATACTCTGCTTTTTTGTGCTGTTTAAAGTAACCATTTAATGAACTTGTTTGTCTGCTTGTTTGACAACGTCAATAAACGTCAATTATTTGTCAGCTCGTTTATCTGTTTGTTTGCAACGTCAATAAACGTCAATTGTTCGTCTGTTTGTTTATCTGTTTGTTTGACAACGTCAATAAACGTCAATTATTTTTCAGCTTGTTTATCTGTTTGTTTGACAACGTCAATAAACGTCAATTGTTTGTCTGCCTGTTTGACAACGTCAAAAAACGTCAAAGTGTTTAAAATTAAATTTCAACCACAGGAAATATTTATGGCGGACCAATTTTTTTCAAATTTTGATAATTTATTTAAACATTTAAGTATCGTTGGGCAGCTCGTTTTTAAAATATATTTAATTTTTTTCCGTTTTTTTCTGTCAAAAAGTATAGGCCTGTACAGAAGAAAAAAGAACAAATTCAGTTGTCACAGTTTGATTTTCTTCCGTTAATATCTTAGGAGTTCAAAATTGCATAATTTGATAAAGCAAACTGGAAAATAATTCTTTAAGAATGAGAATCTTTTAATTTTCTAATATTGTTGATATTTTAGAGTCACTTCACTTAAAAACCAGGGTTTCCATAATCATCAAAAAGTTTTCATCAATTTAAAGAATTACCTTAAATAATAATAAAAAATATGTTTCTATAGTATGTTAATTTTCAAAAACCTAGCTATTGAGACAATGCACAACTATTGCTATCTATGTAACATACAGAAAGGTTTGGCGCAATGATGTATTATTCTCCTGATTTCCATAAAATCAGAGACACTGGAAAATTATTTTTGTCCTACAAATATGATTTTTTGTCGTGGTATTTAATAAGATAAATCTAGAATTTGTATACAGATAAGTACGCCAGCTACAGATCAAGTTTAGCACTATTTTTGCGCAATTGCGAATGGAAACCCTATTATGAAAACCGAAAAAAGAAAGGAAAGAACAATAGAGATAATAGGCATAGAGTATAGGTGTACTTGTGTACAAGCGGAATCAGATACACAAAGATATAAAAACCATTTATCCCGCTAGAGGCGCTAGCATCTCCGTGTAGCCGTATTTCAGGGTTTGTTCAGGAGATTTATTTTATGGATGAATACTAGGAAATCTAGGATAGTTGTTAGTTCTATGACCTTTATCTTGATACTATTAGCTTATTAATCTAATGAGAAAACTGACTGCCCAGGTCGGGGGCCGGGGTATATACCTGAATATCCAGGTCGGGGGCCGGGGTATATACCTGGATAAGTGGTTGGATATCTGGGCACAATCCACCAACATTGTGTGTAATCCAAACCCACTCCATTAATATATAGGGAATATATTTCCTCTATAGGCAACAAAAACTTTTTACTCTAAAAAAATAGAAAAAAATAGTTACGTTTAATGATAAACTTTTGTAAATATCAATAAAATATCAATAATGGAAATTTACATATTTTTTATATTTAAAATTGTTTTTATTCATTAAAAACTATAACGACATATAAAGCAATGTTACATATTTTTATCTTTTTATTTTGTTTTTTGTTTCCTTATTTTTCTGCTCTAGATACGATATCAAAGCCTAAAAATAGAAAAATATAATTTTCAAAAGTTAGTTCAGATTAACATCTTCAGAGTATTTCAGTAAGAAAATTATGTAAAGCCCTAAAGTAATGATTTTTATAACTTCTTCACAGGAATTTTACTTTACCCTAGGCTCTGGATGTTTTGTACAGGTAAAAATTGGTTTTGGGAAACCGTGGTCAAGTATAATTTTTAATTTCCAAGATCATTTTATCGTCTTTTAAGATGAACTTGCGTAATCATTGTTTCACAAAAACTTTAGTAACGTTGGTCTAAACTGAAGTTTGTTAGAATTAAATTGATTAGCAAACAAAAAAAGTAAAAGTCAACCCAACCTTTTAAAAAAAATATTCCCAAAAATAGTTTTATTATCTTGTCCATTGAAAGAAGATTTTAGTATTGTATAAGTATGAAAATTTTAACATCCACTTTTTGATCCCAACAGACTTTGCCTTCGGGAATAACATAAGGCTTTTATGTTTTACTTCAAAGACATCAGCTGGTGACTGGCTATGGGCTCATTTGGTTTTTTTTTAATTTGTTCCTTCTTCGTTCTTTGCTGAACCATTTCATTTTTTTCTGTTGTTCAGAACAAAATTTGATTTAGTTTTTTTTTCTCTATTTCAATCGTTCTCTAACTGAAATATTCTTCAATCGATCAGTAAACAAAAAATAACTATAGTTTTTTCAAGATCGTTCAAACGAACGACTTAGAAATAGTTTATAAACGGTCTTACTGATCCATAAAATGTGAATGATCATTTTGTTCAAAAACGTTCAGACTGATCCATAAAATGTTAGTGGGCTTTCAAAATTTAAAATCATTTATTTTTGATTTTTCTTCTTTCACTTTTAATTTCTGTGAACAATTGTTCATAGTTTGTTAATTTTTAAACATAGTTCATGAAAAGTTTGTTTGTTTTGAAAAACATCATTTGTCCATTTCACTGGTGCCAATGCCATCCCTAAGCTATTTAAGTGCTGATTCGATACAGATAAAAAAGATAAATTATTTGGGCAAAAACTCTGCTAAATGGTGAAAATGCGTTTTTTAAAAAAAAATTTGCAATTCCATGATGATTTTTTTTTAAATTTATACCTTGCATTCTAGGATAATCATATATTTCTCACTATAGAAATATATCATGCCCTTACAAATAAAAAACAGTTGCGCCTCTGATACCTTACACTCAGCTCCTTGTATATCTATCTTCAGAATAACTGTGTCAGTTTCTACAATGTCAAGGAACTCCAGGAACGTGACTGATTCAACTCCTTCACCAATCTGATGCTTCTAAACAGCTGTTATTGTGTACATTGTGCACATAAGTACACTTGAACAATGTTAGCAGGTTATTGGGTACATTTCTTACACATGGGAACATGTGTACCCTTTCCAGTATAAACAGTTTATTGATAAAACAATAGAAATAGAAGAATTTTAAAAAAAGTCTACACATTAAAAAATTAGAAGAATCAATCAATGTCCGTTGAAAAAAAGTCATCGGAAAAAAGTCATATTCTGTTTTATCAAGAACTTTTCTTATTTTATAAGGTTTGCAGTACACTGTAGTACATAACCATGATCAAACAGGGGTAATAATTTTACACAAATCTATCGGATTATATTTTTTTTAGAGGGAGGACCATGGAAGTTTCTTACAACTGAAAAATCTTTCTAAAATTAATTGAATTTTTTTTGTAAAAAATATTCACCTTTTTTGGTCTACAACTTTGTTTTTAATTACTTTTATGGATGACATCATATCGTGCCAGAATCATATGAAACAATTCTATGCTTTTTTCCCTTCGGACTTTGGGTTTTTTTGTGTGACTTAAATGGGTCTTACCNTGATTTCTTTATTTCTCATATTTTATTTAACAAAACCTTGATTTGTTGAGTCGTAGGTCCTAGGGTAAAGAGTTTGTTTCTCATCACTGAAAAAAAAACATTATTTCTCATAAAATTTATTTTTTTCATTTTTGATGTGTTTGTTTTATTTAATTGTTACTTTTAAACTTTTTTATTATTATTTTTTCATCTTTACATATAAACTAATTTAAGAGCCTAATATGGTCCTAAAAATAATGTTTGCCCAGTCTGAATCAATAAAGTGTTGTCCGAAATTTTTTTATAATAAATTAGAAATATGTAATGGTGTGTATGTAACACAGTTTCAAGTGACTAAGATGCAAATGAATCTTTGAAGAAAGTAACGGGGGGAAAAGTTTATGAAAATAAACCCTTGGAAATAAAGACTTTGGTAAAAAGTCTAACGTTTTCTTAAGTCCTAGGACAAAATGTTACTGCAGAAATAAAGTCCTTAGTTTTAGATTCCTTGGACTTTTTTCTTAAATAATATTGGGGCTGCCAAAATAAGGTCTCTGGAAATAAGATCACAGGAATTAAGAAAAAACGTCTTGAAGAAAATATATCTGAAGAACCAAAACCAAGAAAAAAAAGTCATAAGTCTTGGGAAAGTGGAGCTAAGTCTAGTCTAGTCTATATAAAGAAATTTTCTTCTATGCATCTGCAAATTGAATATATTAAAAATAATTTTAAGCCCTTTTTTTCATAGTTCTAAACATCCTTAGTAGTTAGTGCCCATGCATTTTACTTTTTTTCCGGGGAAGTTTTTGTATAAAACCCTGAAAATAAAGTCTTTAAATGGTAGGAATTTATTTCCAAAGACTTTTTATTTCAAAGACTTTTTTCCACAGGACTTTTTAATGCCAAAATTTAGGACTTTATCTCCAAAACCTTTTTTTTAGAGAACTTTCTTGGTGGTAGCCACTGCGTTTACGGACTCATTGACGATCACTTCTTTCATGGACTAATGATAATAATAATAATAATTGATCTCACATCGTTTTAAATAAATTAGAAATACGTGTAATATACATATCTTTAATAGTTTCAAATAATTTAGAAAAACGTCAAATATATCTCACAGAGTTTAAAATAAATTAGAAAAACTTTAATATATCTCAAAGAGTTTAAAATAAATTATAAAAACTTTAATATATGTATCTCACAGAGTTAAAAATAAATTTTAAAAACTTTAATATATCTCACAGAGTTAAAAATAAATTAGAAAAACTTTAATATATCTCAAATATTCTCAAATATTTAATATATTTGACATCGTTTCAAATAACTTACAAATACGATCTTATTGAAAAAAATTACATGCAACTTTATTGAATGTCGTCGTACATGAAGTGAAACAGTTGTGGGGGAGTTAAAACTTCTTGATATTTTCTTAAAAACTACTCAAAGTACAAATGCCCTTCAGGTCGGTTTCCTCTCTTCGTGAACGATCGTTAACGAATGGTCATCGTTAACAGTCGTTAAAGAAACGACAAGTTTCATAAAAACGACCGTTTTGTTTTCGATTTTTTGTCGTCGTTTTCATAACGAAACAATCGTTTTTCAAAAAAATGAAAAAACATCCCTAGACTCACAAATACAGTTTCAATGAAATTATTAATACCCAAGGACTTTGATAATATAACATATTTGGAAATACTTATAATATACTGGGTTATACCCACAAAGGATGAGACTACAGAGTTCAGAGAGTTTTGTACGAAATATTTACTCTCTGTTTCCTTATATTCGCGATTCTCTGCAACTGTAAACATTTTTGTTTCTTCACCAAATCATTAAATAATCATTAAATACCCCATTAAATTACTTCATCTAAGGCAGAATAGATAATTTAACCTTCCGATCGTCTTTACAGTAACATTCTTTGTGGATAGCACTGTATCTCACAATAGTTTCAAATAAATTAGAAATACCTAATGGCGCGAGCTACATATCTCACATTATTTTCAGTTCCCTGCAATACTGTGCTCAGTCTTATCATAGCAAAATTATAATTATCAATAATTAAAAAATTAAAAATTTTCTAGGTTTTTTGGCTTTTAAACGGCTTTACAAGTTTCTGAGATGTATGACCTATTTCAAAATTGTATGCTCGATAAGTTTTCTCTATCAACCAACACGGTTTTCAAAATGATTTAAAATGATTTAAAATGATTTTAAAACGATAGGTAAATTGTTTTGAGAAATCGTTTTCGTTCACATCTTTGGTCGGATAAACAATTTTGTATAATGATTCTTTAGAACACCTTTAAAGAGACTGTAAAGGAAAAATGAAAGGGGTTTAGACTGAAACCTGTGCATTTTAGGAGTTGTTCGATACCTATAAGAGTTATAAACAGATGGAGCCACGTGACAATAATACTACACTGCCATTGGTTGAAGTTCTGGTCACGGAATACAGACGTATTAATTATATTATCCATTATATCTATTAAAAATGAAAAATTTTTAAATTCAAATTATAAAAGGAGCAAATCATATTTTTCATGGGGTAATCTGGGAAATCGTTGTTTTTAGATTCGTTGCGTATTTGCTGAATATGGTCTGCTTAAAACTTAGAATATACCAATCCTCAAATATAAGAGTTTTGGTATAATTTGGGCTTAGTTTTATATCCATTTCTAGAGAGAGGAACATCAGGTAGAACTCTTTTATGTCTCGATCAACTGCTAAAATGCTCAGGTTTCAGCCTATACCCCATTTAATTTTTCCTTAATGGTCCCTTTAAACCCCCAAAAAACCTAAATGTGTGAAAACGGACCGCAAAACGAAAGGATGCCACGGGCTTCAGGCCTTATACATAGTAGAATTAGTCAAACAATTTATTTCTAATGCTTTTTTTCCCCTGCCAACAGAAAAAAAAATACAACTCCTTTTGACCATTAAAACTGGATCCAGCTCAGGGAAATCCACCAACTCAAAATAAAAACTGGTCTCAGGCTGCACAAATGTGAAGTAGTACAGGGCTGTAAAAAATGTTGCCAAATGTTCCTGATGTGAGCCAGATTTGTTTTGAACGGGTCCAGCGCTACCACACTAATTACAAAACAAGCTATATAATTTTCAAAAAAAAAGTTAACTAATTATTAATAATTAATTGAATGAATTCTTCAGAAACTTTGAACGTTTATAGAAAAGAATTTAAAAAAATAGTTTAATGTTTATCTATTTTGAAATTGTACTATAACAAGGTTAATAAAAAAATGGCGGGTTAATAACAACTGTTAATAAAATGCCGTTTATTAATGGAACGTAGCTCAAGAGAAGAAATAGTAGATTTAAGAGATCATGGCTACGCTAGTTATCCATTTCTATAGTGAAACAAACGCCATTTTTTGCCAGAACATCTTTTAGTGGTAAAAACAAATAGGCTTAAAGGGAGTGACCGGCTATGTAAGGTAGTTGAACTGAGTATGCGTGTTGTGGAAAACTTCTTTCGGATTCATTTGAGACATATTAAGATCTGTAAATCCTGAGTTTGAGCGCAAATTCGACGTTCAAAACTCCTGCTTTGGAGGTGGATACGTTTTCAGAATTTTAATTTGAAAAACTTGGAGTGTTAATTTATAATTTATGGGGATATCAAATTTTGAAATAATTTACCTGTAGTTTGCAGCTGCTACAGTTACACTGTACATTCCGATATTAGAACCAACATCTTTAGAAAGGAATAAAAACACGTTAAAAAATTTAATTTACTTTAAATTAACGCACTTTTAGAAGCTATTTCAAAATTACAAGCATTTAATTTGTTTAAAATTCTGAATGTTAGGTTGGATACCAAAATTGTATATCCAGTAGTAGGCGACTTTATCAATACAATGAAGACGACTTTCGGTTTTAATTTTGATTTGTGTCGCGCTTTTAAGTCAAGAGAAGCTGTCACTTAAGAAATATTCTCCTTGATTACTTGTAATTCGAAAAAAAGCTTGTTAGAAAACAAAACTTAAATAAAAAGTCGTATATTGATATATTTGCCTACCACAGTATTTGATATGAGAAGATTTAATTCTAAACGTTAATTGTTAACTTAACTAATTGTCCAAAAGTACATTTTAAGGATGATATGAAATGGAATTATAAAAAAATTGTTTGTGCATATTATGGTATTAAGTATTAACAAGTGGTTTTTTCTGTGTTGAAACTTTTAAAAGTTGATGAAATTATTTTTTTTTTTTTTTGTTAGTTTTTACCTAAAAATGTCGCCTCGGGGTAAGCTTTAAGAATCTGGAGAGTAAGCTTGAGCATGTCAGCCTCCCAGAAACCTGAAATTATCAAATCCCTTTATCTTCGCAACGTGATGATGTAAACCTTTAACATTTCAAACTTTGATTATTTGTTCTACAGTCATAATCAGAAAGACTTGGAATTAACTTGTTATTAATTAGACGACTTTACAATCTAATTTTACAATTATGAATAATGAAACAATAATAACAAAATAGCCCTAGTCCTGCCAATTCTAAAATGTGGTCTGCTTTTATTGTGCGTTTAAATTTACCAGAGATATATATGTAAAGTTGTCTAATAACTGTCAATTAATTCCGGGTCTTTCTGGTTATGACTGTATTATAAGAATTCATAGTTTAAAATATCAAAGGTTTACGACATTTTGTTGCTGAGATAATAGGAATTTTGAGTTTGTGGCAAAAACTCTGTACCATTGATAATTTTAAAGAATGTTTCATATCACGTTAAAAATAATTTCCATAACATTTTATTCTTGTGAGGTTAAAACTTGGGATTAAGATAGTGCTAAGTCACCTTGACTTATTTAAACATGAACACTGCATGGTGTAAACCTTTTTTAAAGAATTTAATGGATAATTCATAAAAAAAAATCAGCCATCAGACTGGAGACTGGAGAGAAAAACGACTTAGCGCATTAGTAACAGGTTTAAAATTTAAAAGTTTTACCCTCTGATAAAGCTTATTTCTTTACCTTCAAAGAATATATGTGCTGAAACAACATCCACCTCCAAGGGCTTAATACACATCAGGTAGTCAGGCTGACTCACATGGATGTTGCAACTATAATTTGTAAAAAGAAATTTAATTTTAAAAAAATTTGAAGAAAAACTTTTTTACTGAGGTTGTATTCCATGTTTGATCTGGAACAAACAACAACAACAACAACAGCAGCAACTCTAAGGCTTTTTAAAAAGTTGTGTTCATTGTTTAACTAAATTAATAAAAATAATAAGTAATAAAAATCAGATTAGAGGGACTGCAAGCTAAATTTTGAGTGATCCTCTGTGGACAGATGGCAATACCCGATTTACAACAGTACCCTTGAAACCTTACATTGATTAAAAATGTGAAAGATAACTTAGTTTTTCTGAACTTCATACTTAAACAGACAAAGCTTTTAAAGGGTTACCTTTTGAAGTTGGACATTGCCATATCTTTGCATTGAGAGTCCATTTAAACAAAACAGAAGGTAAAAGAAATAACAATGATATATTCTTTGGAGAAAAAAAAACCTAGTGGTAGTGGTTGAATGAGAGGTGTGACTTTTTCTAAGACTCTTTTTAAGCAATGAAAAATAATCTTTTTAATATAGATTTTATATCTTTAACCATAGGCTCCACAAATATGTTTTAATACAGTTAAACCCTAAATATTCCTATATACATCGGAAGAATTTATGAAATGTAGTCTTGACAATTTTTCGATGAGTATACTATTTTACGTAAATCTTAGTATTTGCGAAAATAGATAAACAGGCATGAATATTCAGGAACAGTGTTAAAGAGCTCCATATAATCATTTAGTTTAAAAAACTAAATATCTGCAACGTTTCATTATTTTTGTTTTTGGCCGGTGGAATTAAAATGTTTTTAAGATTGAGGGCAAAAATATTCAACCATAATATTTGATTTCAGAGGTTGGATAAATTCTTAATTAGAGAAAGAAAAAATGCATTTCTGATTGTCAACTTAATTAAGTTGTAGAGTCTTGACTCTTGACTTATAGATCTTATATACGTTGTAGAGTCTTGACTCTTGACTTATAGATCTTAATTACGTTGTAGAGTCTTGACTCTTGACTTATAGATCTTAATTACGTTGTAGAGTCTTGACTCTTGACTTATAGATCTTAATGTGCTCTTTTAACCGCTACTGCTGCAGGGTGCAGGGTATATATCATTGAAGAAATAAGAATTTTTTTATTTAGTCTTCCTAACGCATGCATAAGGAATGACACGTGGCAATAATTCACCTTTATTGAAATTTTTTTCAACATGATATTGAGCAGTAAAACGTAAAAATTTACCAATTAAAAAAATACTTCTTTTGATTAATTTTCTTATTTGATATTTGTTAATAAGATTTTTCATAAAATTTGTTCAACATAAGCAGTAAAACGTAAATTGACCAGAGTATGCAAATATTTTTTAGCTTGTCCCTTGATTATAAGATTTGATAGGATTGGATATAAAGTTTGATAATCTTAAAGATTCAAAATAACTGTTATTTGTATAAATCCGAGGCAGTTGCATAACATTTTTTCTTACTTTGATCAATTCTTAAAAACTTTTAGGGAAAAATTTCGATTCCTTTGATTTCAATATCATTATTGCCGATGTTTTTGGCCTTTATTGAGTGTAAAGGTGGCAGCACTTGGTTTAAAGGTGGCAGCACTTGGTTTACAGGTGACAGCATTGGCTTTGAAGGTGGCAACAGTAAATTCAAAGATGGCGGCTCATGTTCACAGAAAACTAAAATAAAAATACTGAAATATAATGATTTTCGACACTGGGGACAAAAAAGGTGTGAGAAAATATCCCTACAATTATTTTATGATTTTTGAAAAGATTTGTAGAACGTTAAATAAACCTAATTGTTAACACATAACGTTAAGGAGAGTGTTCTATCAAATCCAGAAACTGTTCTTACAATTTCATTAATTTATGATTGTTCGACGTTTTTTTTAGAGCGATTCTAACTTTAACAGTTAATTTTCTCAAGGATGTGGTCGTTGCACAGCTAGGACATTTAATTAGCTCCGTTAACGGTGCCAAGCCCTGGACAAATTTCGATTTCCCCATTTCCCTGGAAATCTTAGACCGGATTTAATGAATTTGAGCTAGGTCTAGAGACTGTTCAACCTCGTATCTTTAATCTGTGATTCAGGATGTATCCAAATATCAATGTAAGCAATGGGGACCGAGCGCTGTGGCTAGGATTGGTGAGGGGGCTGAGCGCCGCCGCTAGAACATGCAGGGGTCGAGCGCTGCGGCTAGGACAGACTTGGTAAGTTGCCGCTTGGGAAATTGCACATTTGGGAAGTTGCCACTTGGGAAAATATCCAATTGGGAAGTTGCCACTTGGGAATATACCCAATTGAGAAGTTGCCACTTGGGAAAATACGCAATTGGGAAGTTGCCACTTGGGAAAAACCTTCTGGGAAAGTATCTAACATACAAATAAATGATAGTATACACGGTAGAACTTCAGGTAAGTATTTTAATCCACGCGTGTAGGTAGTTCAAGTTCAACGACCTAACTCAAATTCATTAAATTCGGTCTTAGGCGGCATATATTACAATCTTCAGAGGGCACTTCAGCTATTTTTTTTTATTAAAACTGTAAATGAGCAGAAACTTACTTTTTAGAACTATTTGACTGTAGATAACTAAACCACCAACTGCCAGTAACCCCCTAGCAACCTGTTAACAAAACTCTATTAATCGAGTGTCATGTCCGATTCACAATTATACGCATTTTACTTTGCAAATGTAGGATAATTTAAAACTAAGTCTACAGTTCCATAAAACTTTAACCTTTATTCACAAGCTGAACGCTTTAGATGCAGGGTGTCCCACTGAACATGAGAGTTGGTGAATAGATTTAAAATGTCTTCTTCCATAATTCGATAAGTTGTTTGATACTAAAGAGACTAATAACATTTTTTATATGACAGTTGTAGTATAGTAAAATTCATTTCACAATAAAATGTACATGAGTTAAACATTTTTTTAAAGATATAAACTGCAAAAAGTCTTTAATATCTAATAAAGTATGTTGAAGAAGACATTCAAAACTATTCACCAACTGTCATGTTGCGTGGGACACCCTGTACAACAATCTTAAAGGGAATGTACAGACGTTATTTCTAAATTTCCCTTTCAATCTTTATCTTAGTAAACATAAGAAAATCGTTGATCCACATTAAAAAATTTTAAGTTATGACATACATACATCTGCAAGTTTCTTTTATACAGAAACCACATTTGTAAAAAATCAATTTTTAGCTAGAAAAACAAGGTCTCTTATTTATTCTTGATCAAACTTAGGTTTAAAGGGAGTGACCGGCTATGTAAGGTAGTCGAACTGAGCATGCACTGTTGTGGAAAACTTCTTTCGGATTCATTTGAGACATATTGAACTTTTTAAAGATCTGTAAATCCTGAGTTTGAGCCCAAATTCGACGTTCAAAACTCCTACTTTGGGGGTGGATACGTTTTCAGAATTAGTTCTTCTTAATTATTAAATAACGACAACGAAAAATAAAGTAAAAATTATAATGAAAACGTATCCACCCCCAAAGAAGGAGTTTTGAACATCGAATTTGCAATCAAACTCAGGATTTACAGATCTTTAAAAAGTTTAATATGTCTCAAATGAATCCGAATGAAGCTTTCCACAACACAGTATACTCAGTTCAACTACCTTACATAGCCGGCCACTCCCTTTAAAGGGTACCGTTATGAATCAGATACACCACTTTGTAAATGGAGGGTCAGTTCAAATCTCGTCGACATTCCCTTTAATACATTTAATATATTATAATAGTGCTCTGATATTTTGCCGTCTTCACCAGGCAGGGTACCAGGGTACCAGGGTACCTTAATTACTATTTCTAATCTTGAATTTTCCTCTTTTGGTAAATTAAACAAAAAATGTTGTATATTTTTTTGATTTTTTGAATATTTGGAACATTGTATACAGAGTTACCCAGAACACAAATGGTGATACTTCAGAGACGACTGTTTTGAAATTATTCAATGATTTTTCACAAAATTGATGGGTTCTTGGCATGCTGTTTAAATGTAAACTTGATTTTTTTCTTTCCATAACTATAATGTACCGCATAGAATTATTATTTAAGAAGATGATCAAATCCAACCTTTAGATTCTTATATTTACAGAGTTTCAGGTCTTCATTAAAGTCTCATCCTTTGTGGGTAACCCTGTATTGACAGCTTTTTTAATTGACAGCTTCTCTTGACTTCTATGTTTACGTGTATCTATGCAGTTTAACAGCTTGATAGAAATCAAAATTTAAATCGAAAGTCGTCTTCATTGTATTAATATAGTCGTCAAAATGAGGAGAATGTGGCTCGGACGAGAAGTTGTTGTGGCTGGCCTTCCTCCTCTCGTTGGACCGGATGGGCTGAAATTTGTTCAAGGAACCCTTGGTACCCCAGGGGTAACATAGGGTATATAAAATTCGACATTTTTTTAAAAATCAACAAAATTTTTTTAAACAAATATTTCTTTTGCAAAATAAAAAAGTAATTTTCACGGGCAACGCCTGGCGCTTTAGCTAGTATTTTATGATTTAAATCAGAAATTAAAAATTACCTTATTTTTGATGCGCTCTCTCATGGGAAACATTTTTTTATGCATTTTTGGAAAATTATTAAGAGCTTAATGGGACTGTGAGCGTAATTTCAAGTGACCCTCCATGCAAATCTTGATCTGATCAAAAATGTGGCAAAAAAAGATGTTTTTCCAGACTCGAAAAGTATTTAATTCTAATAATTTCTCTATTTATGTCAGTCACAATAAAGTGGAAACCAATAAAACTACGGAATGGGAAGACGACTTTTAAGTTTTGATTGTTAACAAGCTTTATTCGAATTACAAGTTAAATAGTAATCAAAGAGAGGCTTTTTTAATTAACAGCTTCTCTAGGCATGATATAAATCAAAATTTAAATCGAAAGTCGTCTTCCTTGTATTGATAAAATCGCCTAGACCAATGTAATATTTAAAACCAAATTAAAGTTTGCTCTGAAATTTTTTCTCCAGGTCTCTCCCGGTATGTCCTCATACTGAAGAACAGGATGAAAATGGTGGATTTCAATGTACTTCAGATCAGCTATAAATTAGATAGAACAGATTGGACAGATATAACATAATAACAGAATAATAGATAGGACAGATAGAACAGATAGGACAGATATAATAGATAGGACAGATAGGACAGATATAATTCAGATAGGACATATATAACAGATAAGACATAATGGTCCGATAGAGCAGAAAGGACAGGTAGTATAGATAGAACATATATAACATTTAGGACAGATATTGCAGATAGGACAAATAAGATAGTTATGACAGATAGAAAAGGAAAGACCAAAATTAATCAAAAAATATACTTGGTTGTGAAATGGATTGCAGATACATTTCTTGTCCTATCTGTTTAATCAGTGTGCTGTTCTGTTGCTCTATAAAACCTAAAATATGACTTGCAAAATCTCACAAGATACAGGGTAACCTGCTATTAATAAACTACAGAGACGGTATACAATACCTTCATTGATATACTACAGAGACGGTATACAATATCTTCATTAATAAACTACAGAGACGGTATACAACACCTTCATTAATAAACTACAGAGACGGTATACAATACCTTCATTAAATTGAGTCTCATTTCTTAAATACAGGGTGTCCCACGAAACATGACAATTTAGGAAGACGACTTGAAAGTCGTCTTTGGTATTTGAATTTATTTGTGACATTTAGTCTTCTATCTACTTTAACGTGCATGATTCTTGAAACAATTATCACATAATTCTCCTAGCCCTGGCATTTCCAAAAAGTGGTCTGCGTTTTTTGTGCTTTCAATATTACCGGAGATATAAAGAGTTTGGTTCAGATTTCAATTTTGTTAAATAAAAGCAAAATTGTCGAAATCTGAACGAAATTCTTCATATCTCGGGCAATATTGAAAGCACAAAAAAGGCAGACCACATTTTGGAAATGGCAGGACAAGGGAAATTTTGTGATTATTATCTCTAGAAATTTACTTCTAAAATTAGGTTGACAAATAAACGCAGCAAATTATATCAAAAATCAAGACGACATTCAAGTCGTCCTGCATACTGTCATGTTTCGTGGGACACCCTGTACATGGCGCGCTCAACTGTAAACTTTATTTTTCGTCGCATTTAACAAAAGAATTTATATTTTATCGATGTGGTGTTTAATTAAAGTTTAAGATTGTCATTTAAGTGTCATCCGGTAACCCTGTTAGAAATTTCGTGAATGACTTGTATTTCTGGAGATATGCGGAAGACGACATTAAAATATGTTGGCATTGTACCGCTTGTAGGAACAGATAACGTGATTTCAATGCATCCTCCAACTATATAGCAGGCCCGATTCATGGCTTATTATTTATTATCAATTCAGAAATTTAATAGCTGAAATATTAAAGTAGTAATCAGAAACCAACAGTATAGGAAGACGACATGGTGTATTTAATATTGTTACGAAACAAATAATTTTACCACACACTTATTAACCCTATCCCTGCTGGTTTTTTTTACATAACTCAATAAGTACCCATAGCCCTTCCTTTAGATCTAAACCCGGCCTTTTATACGAACTGCCTGAGTCCTCAAGCACACTGCCTGAATGACTACTTTTTCCTGTAACTAACTAAATTTTTGTTTTTACCCACTTTAAGTTGTCAAATTTTGATAATGATTTTATTTTTTGGCATGCCTATTACATCAGGAAACGGACTGCACAAGTTTTGCAATACAATTATTTCAAATTATTTGCATACAACCCTTCAAAAGAAGTTTGCACTTTTTTAGTTTTCTTAATTACACATCAGGTTATTTAAAATTTTGAAAATTTGTTTGCATATTTGAAATGGCATGGTCAAGGTCTTTTAAAAATGTATATACTATAATTTGTTGGACTTTTTTCTGCAAACATTTTTACTTTAAAACTGGATTTAAAAAAGAATTGATTTTTGCAGATTTGCTTTTTTTTCAGATTTCAAGAGTAGAGCACAAGAGCTTTCCAATGATGTATCATCTGTCATATTTGGACATCAAACACGGGAGGGGGGTCAATTTCCTGGTTTTCAAGTACCCAAGCAGGGATAGGGTTAAATCACTAATTTAGTGGATTGGGTCTGTTTACACTGCAAAATTGCTATTTATCATGCTCATTGGACTATAAAGTTATAACTCTATGCTAAAGTCGTCTTCCTATTCCAGAGTTTTCTAGTTATCACTGTATGATATGAAAAGGTAACCTTTTTATTGTTACGTTTATTAATTTTTACAGGGGCACCGTGCAGATATAGAATAAATATATTTTTGCTATAAAATTCTTTAAATAAATATTACAGGATAACTCAACTATGGTTATTGGTTACCTGGCAAACAATTTTAGTTATTCAAAGCAATACGCAAATGTTTGGCAAGTCTTCCCGCAGCCCATTAGAATGGGTGGAGGGTGGGGGCATCAAGAGACTAGACTAAAAGTAAAGGAGTTTTTAGGGCGCTTCACCCCCATCTTCTTTCAACTTATAATTGTGGCTTTATCTGTGAGCATCTTCTCTTTCTAAAAATTTACTGTGGGGGCCATTTTTTAAAATTTCGAGAAAATTAGTAATATTTAAGGAGCTATTTTAAACGGCCCTGTTAAGGATTTCTTGCCCCACCCCTACTACAGCCTTCTAAAAGGGGGGGTTTGCCTTCCTTAATCAGGCTAGGGAGGGCCTTGCTCCCATTCTCCCCCCCCCCCTAGATGCACGTCTGTTTTCAACAAGAAACTTATAAATCACTGCGAAGAACCTATAACTAAATAAACCTTAATAATTGCCGCGTAGACACCTGTACTTCGTAGACTCTATGCTGTATTAGCATAAGGCCACAGTGTACACTAGACAAATCTTTGAAAATGTTTTGATTAAAATCGCGGGATTGGCTAGCAACCATCGATCCGCTGTGATTTGAGAATGTTAAAATATAAGAATCGTGAAGGATATTTTATTATCATCAGCCAAGAGCCATTCTGACTGTTTTTCAATATTCTAGTCTTAAAAAGTTTTTTTTAGAAATTGAATATTTATTTTTTAGAATAAATTAACACAAAAATGGAAGAAGTCATGGATTCTGAATCACTGGCAAATCTGTCTTTAACAGAAGCTGATATAATGAATCTTCAGCAGGTTTACGTTTAGAAACAATTCAAATTTATAATTTGTAAAGTCTATTTCAATATCTATTTCAACTATTTTTCATCAAAATTATTGATAATTGTAGTAATTTCCTAAAGAACGAAGTCTGCTTCAGGCTTCATAAAAGTACATAAAATTTATTGGTATTTTCCTAGAGAACGATTTTTGGAGCAACAGATTTAGAAACATTGGCGTCATTTCAGGTTACACCAATATTTCATTTTTTATCCATTCTTCTAGGATTTCAGGGTTAGTCCTAGTCAGGTCACACCAATATTACTTCTTTTAGGATTTCAAGGTTAGTCTTAGTCAGGTTACACCAATATTACATTTTTTATCCATTCTTTTAGGATTTCAGCGTTAGTCCTAGTCAGGGATAGGTTTCAGGTTACACCAATATTACATTTTTTTATCCATTCTTTTAGGATTTCAGGGTTAGTCCTAGTCAGGGATAGGTTTCAGGTTACACCAATATTACATTTTTTATCCATTCTTCTAGGATTTCAGGGTTAGTCCTAGTCAGGGATATAGGTTTCAGGTTACACCAATATTACATTTTTTTATCCATTCTTTTAGGATTTCAGGGTTAGTCCTAGTCAGAGATAGGTTTCAGGTTACACCAATATTACATTTTTTTTTTATCCATTCTTCTAGGATTTCAGGGTTAGTCCTAGTCAGGGATAGGTTTCAGGTTTCACCAATATTACATTTTTTATCCATTCTTTTAGGATTTCAGCGTAAATCCTAGTCAGGGATAGGTTTCAGGTTACACCAATATTACATTTTTTATAATATTCCGTACTACTGTAGTACCAATAATCTGAATTTTAGCCTCCTCGATCCAAAATAAATATTAACCTAAAACTGTAAAAAAAAATCTTTCGCTCTTAAAATTCCAATTTGAACTAATTAAATAGGGATTTCTTTAATTCTGAATGTTTCCGCAAGTTTTACCATAAAAATAAGCAGATGAAAGAAGAAGAAAATACTTTGAAAATTCTTCTTTTGTGGAATAAATTAGAAAATATATAAGAAATGTTCATTTCCCGGATTCATTTTTTTCTGGGCTGATACAGGATCTAGAGAAGATCCGCATCAAAATAAAATGGATCCTAAGTGCTTTTTAGAAAATTACTTGTGTTTTTTATTTGAACAGGAGACTCCACAAAATTTGAATGGTAACAGATTTTTCAAAATTGTATTCATTAAAAGATAATTGTACAATAATATACGTTATCTCTCCCAGTAATTTAAGCCTGAACGATTTTCTACGAAAAAAACCACGAGTTTTAATCTTTTTTCATCTTTGACTCAAAAAACTAAAAATTCTATTTATATATGTTAGCTATTTCTGGCCAAACAGCTGAACAAAATTGGCTGACAATTTTTTAGCTAACCCTGCGGGGTATCAAAGGCAAAAAAATTCAAAATTAAGGTTTTAAATAAAAATTCAAAATGTTTTTTTATGTGTTTCTAAAATTTCACGGGCAACGCCGGGCCCTTCAGCTAATAAATAATAATTATCTCTGATTTCAGGATGATCTGGAAACTTTTAATATGGATACTGGTGGAGGTCAGATGGGTAATATGGATCTTAACAAGGTAATTGGGAGGTCAAACTTAGCTAAACAAGGTAATTGGGAGGTCAAACTTAGCTAAACAAGGTAATTGGGCGGTCAAACTTAGCTAAACAAGGTAATTGGGCGGTCAGACTTAGCTAAACAAGGTAATTGGGAGGTCAAACTTAGCTAAACAAGGTAATTAGGCGGTCATACTTAGCTAAACAAGGTAATTGGGCGGTCAAACTTAGCTACTCTAGGTAGAGGAAAGCAAACGAGAGAAAGTAGAGGTCGCTCTTGTTCAATAGAGTTTAATAGAGTTTAACAGAGGTCTTAACATCACAATAGCAGAGGTAATAAAAAGCCAATTAGGGACAAAAGAACTCCTAAATGGTCGATAAAGGTCATTAAAGGTCGTAAAAAGATTATTAAGAAAAGGATCCAAATAAGAGCTACTTAGGTTCATTTAAGGTCAGCTGTAGCGGTCGAGGAATTTCAATGAAGTTTGTACTGAATACTGAAGTTGTTAATAGATATCGAAAGATTTCTAAAGATGTCAAAAGAGTTCAACTGAGGTGAATTAATTATGGTTTTCTCCATAATTGACACTCAACTTTTAAATCTGCGGCCAATCATCGACGATTATTGATTCCGGTTTCGTGCATGTAAATTGTATCTATCTTGAATCAAATTCTAACATGTACATGAACCGGTTTGGTCACATTTATCAGATTTTAATCTATGAAACAACAAAAACGTGAGAAACGGAGAAAAATTTCACAAACAAAAAATAGTTATAGTTAAATCATGATTTAAAAGCTGAATTTACCAACAGGAAAGTGATTTAGAAAAGTTAAAAGTTGAAAATATTTATTATGTTTACTTTCATGGGCACACGAACACTTTCTGTCATTTAATTGACTGTAAGTGTAATTTCAAATGACCTTCCATGAAAAGACGACAATTCTCGAATCATAATGGTACCTATAAAAGCTTTGTCTGATCAAGCATAAATTTAAATAAATCTTTAAATTTTGAAAACTGATTATTTTTTTATTGTTTTGAAGACTGGGGTTTCTCTTCAAAAGTGAGCATTTCTATTGCAGGAAAAAATTAGAAGAATTAACACAAATAAACACTATTCAGAAAAACGACAATATCTTCCATATTTTTGATCAGAAAATGGTTTCAAGGGTACCGTTGTGAATCTGGCATTGCCATCTTTGCATGGAGGGTCACTTGAAATTACGCGTACAATCGTTGTCAACATTCTTCAATTGAAGAGACATAAAGAATATCGTTGACAATAAATAGTATATTTAGGACGATGTCGGGCTTGGGGGACAGTTCAGTATCTCGGATCAATTGTCAGGTTAAATCAATTTAAATCAATGAAATAAATTAAAATTAATTATAATTAATTAGAATTAAAGTTTAATTGATTTATTTGATTGATTCTTGTTAAATTGATTGGTATATTTACTTTAAAGATAAATTAATTGATTTTAGATTATTTTATTTGTTTCGATTGTTTTAATTGATTTGTTTGATTTGATTGATTTGATTGATTTGATTGATTTGATTGATTTGATCGATTTGATCGATTTGATCGATTTGATCGATTTGATTGATTTGATTGATTTGATTGATTTGATTGATTTGATTGATTGATTGAATTGATTGAATTGATTTAATTGATTTGATTGATTTGATTGATAGTCCTAGTCAGGGTTAG